CTGAATATGACTGAAAATTTTCATTTTTTCTGAAAAGGTGGTGTCTATTTACTTGTGACCACGCTGTGTATGTAGAATAATAATAAAGGGAGCTGATAACCAATTACCGATATAAGATACTCTCCAGTAATACACTGTAATTAAATATAACCGTTTTTGTTAATACAAACTGCAGGAAAAGAACAGACAAAGGCTCAGGTTAAAAATTCTAACGTACTTTTGTTTGAAAAATACAACGTGTACTTTCAACAAAAACGTTTATTGCTTTTGCCATTGTAAGGTCCTGCTCTATCTGATGAATGCTCATCTTTACAGTGGCCTTGCAGCATACTCTCCACTGTTTCATTGCAAAAGGTTGTCATGTTCACACTACTACTTCCTGTAAGCTTTCCATAATCCATCTAGTGTACGAGAACGGTGGCTTTCAAGTGCCCATTTAACAATCACACACAAATCCATGGGCCCGGCATGGCCAGGTGGATAAGGTGCTCGACTCACAATCTGAGGGTCGCGGGTTCGAATCCGCATACCACCAAACATGCTCGCCCTTTCAGCCGTGGGGGCGTTATAATGTGACGGTCAATCCCATTATTCGTTGGTAAAAGAGTAGCCCAAGAGTTGGCGGTGGGTGGTGATGACTAGCTGCCTTCCCTCTAGTCTTACACTGCTAAATTAGAGACGGCTAGCGCAGATAGCCCTCGTGTAGCTTTGCGCGAAATTCCAACAACAAACAAACAAACACAAATCCATAGATGATGCATTCGGCAACTCGACCGGTATGTCATCATATGGAACAGAATTAATATTTGCTTCATTCTCCAGCTGCCTTCGGTATGCGGCAGTTGAATGGATATGCCGTGGAAGAAACTTGTGTACATGTTATTTGAGTCTCTTTTCCAGATAAAGATCTTTCTTCATTATGCTGTGGGTTGTTGTCTAGAATACGTAGACGGCTTTTGCCACTGACCTTTGTCTTTGTGAATTCCTTCCTGCTGCTTTCTTTCACAGCTGGGGTACGAGTTGTTGCATGTTTCTAGATGGTCCTGATTTCCCAAGTTTTTTAATGATATGAAGTATATACCCACCTCGGAAGTTATAAATCCTCGATATATAAATTTTAGACATGACTCTTGGACCCCCTGGAGTACCCTCGCTGACCCCACTTTAAGAAACGCTGAACTAGGTAAATTATCAAAATCAAAACGCCCTCAGTGGCTCAGCAGTACGTCTGCAGGCTTATGACGCTAAAAATTGGTTTTGATATCCGTTGTGGCCAAAGTACAGATAGCCCGTTGTATAGCTTTGGTTGTTGTTAAGAGCAAAGATACACCATTAGTAGTCTGTGTTGTGCCCACCGCGTGTAATCGAAACCCGATTTTCGGCTTAATATTTTTAAAAACGTATCATTCACGAAGTGTTTGGGAACGTAAATGATAACAAATATCTTACAAATAATTATTAAAATTCCTTAACAGCAATTTATTTTAAAAGTTAGTTCCAATAAAAGAAAAGCTACACAATGGGCTATCTGTGTTGTGCATACTACGGGTATCAAAACCTGATGTTTTGCGTAAATAAACCCTCAGACTTACAGATGAACCAACGGTAGGGGCAGTGCTTGTTTGTTTTGTAATTAAGCACAAAGCTACACAATGGGCTATCTGTGCTCTGCCCACCACGGGTATCGAAACCCGGTTTCTAGCGTTGTAAGTCCGCAGACATACCGCTGTGCCACTGGGGCTCCATATCAGTGTCGACGAGGCCTTTCGCTCAGTATCAGGGGTCATCAGGTAAGTTGGGGTGCAATAGATAGAGTAATGGTTGAAACACTATAACTTATGTGATAAAATAGCATGAATAACAACTGTTATGGTGAAAACTAGATTAAATTAGTGAAATATAATTTCGGTCAATTTTATTCAAATTGTTTACAAATCAGTTTACAAATTATGGCATGGGTTAATTACCACAATATTATATTATTTATTCACTTTAACACCTATTATTTATTATATATTTTTACTTTAACTTTACTCATCTCTCTGAAGAACTGGAGAATCAGCACGCTAGTCGCCATATTCCGAAAGCAAGTGAAGATAAAAGAATTTTAAGTGAATTTCGGCTAAATCCGGAGAGTTTCCAGGCACTGCTCAAATACTAGGTTGAAACAAATAATAGATATACTTTAGTGGTAAATTTATATGTAAGGTTTAGACTTATTTCACTAATTGAGGTTAAGCAAAGTATATATAATTTATATAAGACTTCAACACTGAGATATGGGAGATGCAACATAAACATTGAATTATATGTAAAAAGAGGTATCATTCTTGTGTTAGCTTGAGGTGAAGAATGTAATATCAAATTTTGTGTAGTACCTACTTTGGATATTTTAAGCTTTGTGTAGGGAATATTAAACAATATTAAATAATATTAAACAAGTGAGACACAATTTATGTGTAACTTTCTATTTGAAAGTTAACTAGAGTGCCTTTTTGTGGCTCAACTACAAGCTTGAAGAATTATAAAGTAAAATTATGGGTTCTATCCTTACGGTGGGTACAGTGCAGATAACAAACATGAATTATATTTGTCATAAGATTATAGTATTAGGATTATTTTATTTAGTCCCTTGTAGTTTTTCCGAGAAGAAGAATGTGTAACAGTATTTGAACTACACATAACACATATATAACGTGGTTGAAATACTATTATACACTTTTTTCTCCTCGGATAGCTTCTAAGAGACCGGGCCCGGCATGGCCAAGTGGTTAAGGCGCTCGACTCGCAATTGGAGGGTCGTGGGGGCGTTATAATGTGACGGTCAATCCCACTATTCGTTGGTAAAAGAGTAGCCCAAGAGTCTTACACTGCTAAATTAAGGACGGCTAGCGCAGATAGCCCTTGTGTAGCTTTAAGCAAAATTATAAAAACCTAAACCTAAGGGATCAAATAAAGAATGTAATGTCTAAAAATACAAGAAACCCAATACTATTGTTTTATGACAAATATAATTGATTATAATAACGGTTCTCCAGTTTAAAGGCTGTCACACCAAAGGGAAAATGAAACTTAGCGTTACTGTAACATTACAGGGGAAAAAAGTTGCGATTCTATATTTTCAAATTTTGTCAATTGTTAAATTATTTACTAGTCTAAATCAACCAAATTTACAAACTATCTAGTAATCTTATTTCGTTCTTAATTGTACCTTCATTATTTACACCTGTCATGCCTCTCAGTGGCACAGCGGTATGTCTGCGGACTTACAACGCTAGAAACCGGGTTTCGATACCCGTGGTGGGCAGAGCACAGATAACCCATGTGTAGCTTTGTGCTTAAATTCAAACAAATAAACACTGATATGGCAAATATAATGTGTCTGACATATTTCTATCGTTCTTCTTTACATTCACTCTTAAGTTACTACACTTACCTTACCTTTCAGGTCTCTGGTGTTTAATATATGACCTCTGAGCGAGGTAGTCTTCCCTCCAGCGAGCGCTGTGACTATGCAATATTTTTTTCAGTATCTGACATATTTATATCGTATATATCTTATATTATCTTGTCGCCAGTATTATACTTTTCTGGACCACCCCGAAAAATTATGTAACATCTAATTAAAGACTTTCTTATTACGTACAATAAATGAAGATTTCTTTCTTTACTCATCGTTGCCTTCTTATTCAAATTGTTTACCTAAAAAATACTTTAATTTTAATTTTTTAGCAATACTAAATAAACTGAATCAAGGTTATTTAGTATTGCTGAAGATTTTATGTTAGAGTATTTGAAGTTATAGTCAGCAATATACTAAATAATTTTCAAATGTCTTACGATCAGCCAATTCCAAAAGTCCATAACTAAATAAAATATGTTTAATTAAAGGATCTTAAGTTATGAGCGATAACATAATTGTATTGTAAACTGAAATACATTAGCTTCTATTTCTGATAAAATATAGGCTATAGCCAGCTGAATAATGTATTTATCATATCTGATCTGACAAGTCGAACCAATGTCAATTCTACGGAATGCCAATAACCACTGCAGCTTTATTTCAGCTCTACAGTTCCAATTATATTTCGAGAAGAAAGAGTATAAAGATAAGTCAGTAAAAACTCACATCAAGTTTGATTAAAATTATACCAACAGAGCATATAAAAATAAAGTTTGGAGACAGGGCCAAGTTTCTTTGCTAAAGAACAAATAATTATAGAATCATTAAACAGTTGGTCCGCTGAGTAATGTCGAATAATAAATTAGGCGAAATGTCATAATGATTTTCACACACCTAAATTAATTTAAGTTCTTATGAGGAGAGTTATAAGGGACTCGCAAACCCCATAAAAAATTAACCAATAATGTTACACTAAATAGAATAATTAAATGTTCTTTTTCTTTTATTATTGAGCAAAGCTGAATAACCACACAGGTCCAACAAAATGCGAAAATTTAACCTTAACATTTAAATATTTAGTCTTATGTTGCGAAACAATATTATTCGCCTTATGAATTCCCCCATTAGGTCAGCTGTAAGTTTATGGACTTACAATTCTGAAACTCCAGGTTTGATTCCCCACAATAAAAATAGTTCAAATAGTCCATTGTGTAACTTTCCACTAAGAAGACAACATTATCTTATGAAAATGATTGATTCAGGGACAGAAGTGTAGATTTTGCGACAAGTTAAGTCTCATTTAGAGCGAGCAGTTGGAATCATACAAAATAGAACACATGCGCAGCTGCGTGTTCAAGAATTTGTGAAATATATGTATTGTGACGCCTTTAAAACTGATCATAGATTCGATCATTTTATGTGTTGACAGACTTCATTCATTGGGATTATTTTGTAAGGATTCATCATTGTGTGGAAGTAAAAGGTACATGTTTCCGGAAAACAATGAGTAGAAAAAATATCAAAAAAATAAAGGAGGCGAGTTACCTTTTCTAGTGACGTATTTTTTATTGTCAGTTGTTTTATAAGAAAGAGCTGGATTTCACCTTTATATGGGTGTTTTATTTTTGATACGCTTACTACTGTAATATTGTAAACTTTTCACAGCCTTGTTATTATGACTCACTAGTAGATGTCATTACTTGCTTTACTTAGAGCATAAAACTAGTCCCCCGATGGGACAACTGTAAATTAACGGACTTACAAGACTCAAATCCAGGGTTCGATTCCCCGTGGTGTACACAACAAATAGCCCAATGTGGGTTTGATCTAAAACAAAGTATAATATTAACATCGGCTCTTCGTTTTTAAATTTAGTAACACTTTTTGTTGAGATATAGTGCGGTAAATTACTTCTTGTTGGGCTAATTTTATTGTTTTATCTTGTACTATACAGCACTGTGTTTAAAGTAATATTCAAACCAATAGGTTGGCATATTTTAATAAGCTGAAATATTATAGATTTCTGATGTTAGCTTTCTACGTGCACTTACTACTTCGGTAACTTTGTTCTACAACAGTATATGGTGACATTAGCTGATTTGTCGTGAACATTTCCGTAGAAATTGTGGCGTCAGAGCGGAAGCAGCCTAGAAAAAAGGAAACGCCATGGTCCCTGACGGAATGGTATTACTTATACACTAAAATCCATGATATCTTGTGCCCAGGCATCGAGTCTTTGTTTTTGAGGTCTTCTATTCCCAAAATTATTCAAGATCCCTGTAGATGAAAGTAAGTTGATTTATGTCGCTTCTCATAATTTTATTGAGCATTCGTAATATCAAGTCTGTTTAACAGAAGATGAATTGTTTAATTTTGCAGAAAAATTGAATCTTATATTCGAGACCTATCTCGCAACTCGTTTTTGTCCAAGACCATTTGTAGACAATATCCCTGACGCTGTTGGATGACATGTTTATGTCAGTGGTAATCTGTGATGAGTTTTCTTGTTTCCCCAGACGTGATACGTAATTTTTTTTTTACTAACATGTTTCATTATTTATTTTCCACTTAATTTAATCTTTTCACTAAAGGTGGTTCTGGTAGGACAAGTAAAATTGAATAACAATAATGGACAAATTTCCAGTAAGTGCTGAAGTCAATTGTGAAAAGCTATAAATGATACATAAAACTCACTTTGTTCCTCTATAGTATCTCCGTATTACGAAAGCAAAACATATACTAATGATTAAGACCACTATACGTTTATCTTAAGCCCCCCAGTGGCACAGCGGTATGTCTGCGGACTTACCACGCTAGAATCCGGGTTTCGATACCGGTGGTGGGTAGAGCACAGATAGCCCTTGTGTAGCTTTGTGCATAATTAAAAAGAAACAAAGAAACGTTTATCTTAAAGGTTTTTACTCCATTCTAAATAAATTAAGAATTAACAATACCGTACTTAATGCTTATATTTTCATACAATTCTACATTTTATGAAATAACACTGCCGAGTTTATCTAGGTGGCTAAAAAGCAGTGTGATTATTGCGCACTTTTCTTTGATTAATACTGAACATTTATAATTGAAGCAGTTTGATAAGCTAAGCTGTTTGCGTGAATTTGTTTTTAGAACTAACTGTATGTAGGACTTGTACACTTGTCCTGTTCAACCTTATTATGTAAGTGTGATAGCATTTACTCCTATGTTTTGTTTATCTTGTAGCAAATCGAAGAGTTATGTTGTACGTAGTATGAAGATGTGTTTCGGAAATTATTTTTATGTGAATATAGATAACTTTTTGGAAAGGAAAAAAGAAAGATTTAACTCACCAGATTACTGTTATTTTTCTTCGGTTATTTAAGATAATAATGCAAAAACATTTTACAAATTGTAATATGGTCTACCTCAGTTTCATTGTTTGTTTAATTATGCACAAAGCTACACAAGGGCTATCTGTGCTCTGCCCACCACGGGTATCGAAACCCGGTTTCTAGCGTTGTAGCTCCGCAGACATAACCGCTGTGTCACTGGGGGGCCAGTTTCATTGTACCTCTTTGTCTAAAACATAATCCACTTCGTATCACAGATATGCTTCAAATGAGCAAAATTTTTAAATCGCCATGATACTATAAGAAAGTAATGACAAAGCGATTTTTTAACACTTTCTATTTTATTTTTTAGCAAACTTTATATTATAATTACAAGAAAATCAGTTAATTAATTCAACTACTATTATTATTTTTTAAATACTGCATGGTGTAAGTGTAAATTGATATACAATGGTATACTGTGCACTTATATAAATAAAAGCACGGAAAATGTTACAGATGAAAAAGTACACATGTTCGGCGAATTAATTTTTTTCCACATTGTAATCTGAAGTCAAACTCTTACAGCGCTTAACGACACCGGGTTAGCTCAATGTTCAGTTGAAAATGATTGTTTGTAATTAAGCACAAAGCTACACAATGGGCTATCTGTGCTCTGCCCACCACGGGTATCGAAACCCGGATTCTAGCGTTGTAAGTCCGCAGACATATCGCTGTGACACTGGGGGGCGTTGAAAACGAAGTCAAACTTTACAGTTTCAAAAAAATATGTTTTTCCCCAGATATTTGAGATGAAACTTTCATTAAATTCCATTTGTTAAAATTTACCTTATAGTTAATGTATAATTGATTATAAAAAAGGTATTGCTGTCGGTTATAAACTACTATTATTAGGTAAATGAAGTTTTTTTTTATCTTTACAGCTCATTCTTAGATTCTATAATGTGGCAAGCTAACAACCTATTAGTGAACATGTATATTTCTTTTGTTTTCTCAATCGACCGTGAAGTAATTATATGTCTTGTAGAAGATGTAATAGATAATAAGCATTGTGTTTAATACACTATTCATTGAACACAATTGATTTATTGTTACACAGATCTCATCAAATCCGTTTAGATAACTTATGATTATGATACTCAGATATATGATTATGCTGCAAATAAGTATCGAATAAATATAGCACAAATAGGATCCATAAATAGCACAAATGAAACAAAGATTCTGACCGTTTTAACATTTCAGATTGTAACTCATTTTTAAATTCAAACTAAACTAAAAGGAATGATGAGATTTTTTGCGATATTTCATTAGTTAGTTTTTAGCGAATAAAGGAAATTGGATGATTATAAACAATTAACGAAAGGGTACAGGAAATTTTGCAAAACAATGAACAAAACACACATTTTCCCAAACAGAAAACTTAGTATCACTGAAATATTTAGCTCGAAGCAGAATTTATTATATGTATTAAAATAGTATTATTTTGTTTGTTTGTTATGAATTTCGCGCAAAGCTACACAAGGGCTATCTTCGCTAGCCGTCCCTAATTTAGCAGTGTAAGACTAGAGTGAAGGCAGCTAGTCCTCACCACCCATCGCCAACTCTTGGGCTACTCTTTTACCAACGAATAGTGGGACTGACCATCACATTATAACGCCCCCACTGCTGAAAGGGATTCGAACCCGCAGATTACGAGTCGAGTGCCTTAACCACCTGGCCATGCCGGCCGCTTATTATTTTGTTTATCTATTTGTTTAGAGCAAAGCCAAATTGAGTTATTTGCTGTTTCACTTATAAAATATCATTTTTTTTTACAAATATTAATAAGTGTTTATTTGATATGTATAAAAATACATGATACATAAATGCAGAGAACGCCTGAATGGTCTTATTTTAATATAATTTTAAATGTTACGTTTTATTAATATTTCAATCAATAATTGGTTTATTATTTAATATTTCCCATATTTTATGATTATTGTAAAATAATTTTTAGCCTTGAGAATTTATAAATAGTATACAACAAGGTTAAGTCAGTTGTATGTTTGAGATAGTTGCCTAGTGAGTGTTTTTTCAATTAATGGATACTATAATTCAGTTTCATCATACAGAATAGTAAGTGCACAGCGATGAATCAGCTGTTTTGTTTTTAGTTGTATTTTATAAGAATTAAAGCGGGCATCTCCTTTATATTTTAATGCCATTCTACTTTCGTATGTTCCCAACAATTGGTAATTATCCCATGGCAACAAATATTGTTTTCAAAAAATAAACCTTAATAAACCTGTACATTAGTAAATTTAACGAAAGGTTCCATATAGATTACATCTAGAAGATTATAAACATTGTCGCACGTGAAGAGCAGGTGGAGCTATTTTATCACATAATATAAAGTAAATATCATTTAAATGGTAAAAATATATACTAATAAAGTAACTAGCTAATCTATTTTTTGGGTATTTTATACTATTCTGATAAGTACAAATTTATATTTAGGTATGGAGAATACCACAGGAGGAGCAGTACTTCTAGGCTGTATTGATCATTTTTCGCCTTCTGACGATGAGATTTTGGAAGGTGGCGAACGTTGTGCCACTCGAAAATTATCTCCCATGGAACAACACGCCATTGACGAGGTGTTATATAACTGCACACAAATTCAAACTTTCCAGTCTCTCCCAACCAATCAGTGCAGTTTGCCAGACGATATGGAAGATCTCCCCCCTCCTCCACCAGAACTTTGTATTGATGAGAATCATGAGGAAGTTACCTCACTTCCGCCTCCACCACTATCTAATGGTTATGAAGAAGATTTATCTTTACCACCCCTGCCATTAGAAGATATGGACTGTATAATACCTCCTCCTCCTGAATTTGAAGACTCAGACTTTCAAAATCAGAATGAAACCGTTTCAAATACTAGCTTTAAAGAAGTTATTCTTACGGTTACCGACGAAAATGAAAATACCCTAGTTTTGAATAGTTCTGGTAAGTCTAAAATTTAGCATTTATCCAACGTAAAAAAAGCATACTTTTGCTTATAAGAATGTTTCCTGGTGGGTGATCGATTTCCCGTGGTGGACAGAGCGTACATAGCTTTGCAACATACAGATTCACACACACACACAAAATAACTCACCTATACAAATAATTTTATAGAACTATATGAATTTAACTACCATCCTGTGGTAAGTAAGTGTATTTTTGCAATGAGTAGCATATGAGAATAAAGAATGATAATATTTATATTTCAGTAATATGAAGTTACTGAACTATGTGTGCGTGTGTGTATGATTAAAATTAATGTTGAAAAATTCTAATTTACTGTAAAATTTAAGCATGATTGTTGGTTTGACGAATAAATGTATGTTTACTAACATTCCTGTTAGTCATCGTAAACAACTACGAACTTGTTTAATTGATAACATGTATTTTAGTTTTTATGCACATCTAAAACTACAAATAAGCCACCTCCCCAGTGGGTCAATGGTAAATCTGAGGGCTCACTCAGCTAAAATCCTGGTTTCGATACTCGATAGCTTTGTGCTTAAAGACAAACAAACAAAATTTGCGAATAAAATCCATTTATAGGTTACATTATATTTAAATTGACATATTGCACTGAACAACGCTGCCGCAGCTGATAGAAGCTGTACTTTTTGTACTGAATTGAACGTTGGATTGGACAACACATATGAACGGGGTGTAAGTGTGAAAATTTGGAACACTGTCGTGGCAAACAAAAATTATATCTCGAATCACCAAGAATTGAGTACATCGTGTTTATTTGTTCGTGGTTTCAATATATCCGTAGTGGGCACAGCAAAGATAGCCCATTGCGCTTAACTACAAGCAAACTAACTAAATAAATTATTCCCAGCAAATAAAACTAAAAAGTTAATAATAGCTTTAGTTTAATTTATATATATGGATGTTATTTTCTTTAAATCTTCATTAACCTCTGTGGTAATTTCGATTGATTAACAGTTGTTTACCCGATTTGGTGGTATAAAGTATATCTTAGATATACCTACCAGAATTAATATGGTTCATAGTAAAACAGCCTTGGTTTTCTTTTATCTTAGAGTGGTTTGAATGAAGTTGGCGCCACAACATTCATGTTTCTGCTCTAAATAATTAAATTTGCTCAAAGTATTTAGAATGAATTCAAATTAAGCTGTTATATCAAATTCACACCAGCCACATTTGATAAGATAAAGCATTCTCATATGACTAGGATAGCTAGTCTATAATTTGAACTCATTTTTATTTTTTCACTGGATTCTCAAGCGGAGCACGATGTCTGTGCTGCTAATTTAACTTTTATAAATGTTTTTGCAAAATGACCATCGAGCGATTACATATAATAGTATTCAAAATAGATTCAAATAAATTCTATATAGTTTTGTTTGGATTCTATTTATTCCGTTGGAAACGTCAGCTGAAAAGTATATACGTATTAATTAATTATACAATAGTATTGTCACGGCTTTTATTTTTGGATTGATTCGTTTGGATTATTTGTTGAAAAGAGAAATGCAAAGTCTAGTCCGTTTAATGATAACGAAAGTTTTTTATTTCGTAAACTACAAATTTTACAAGTTAAAAGTAATATTCACTGATAGGCCTAAGTTCACAGTACTACAGTAGATACTAACACAGAACAGTTTCACTTACTTGGTAATTTTTCTCTAGTACATACGGCATTTTTTTCGTATCTGTACTACTTTGTTGAAACACAAGCTCAATATCCACAAAACTGAACTCTTTTATTAAGTTAGCGTGTGTATTATCCAGATAATCTTTTACTATCTGGATAATACATTTGCTAACTTAATAAAAAGACCACTTCCGTTTTATATCTCTCACATCGTTTCCTAAACTTTCAAGAACAAACCATATGTTGAGCCACTCTCATCACGTCACATCAAAGCTTCATCTAGTCAACATTAAAACAACGTCTAAATTTAGGAAAAACATACCCAACAACATTGCCCCTTCATAGAATATGGTGCCCCTTGAAGAATTCTAGTACACAAAGAAAATAATGGTACAGTAAATTTAAACTTCTATAATTAACAATATATATACAATAACTCTTGACAATTAACAACATTAATATTCATAAAAATAGACTTTACAACATTTAGATCATTAAATGCGTGAAAAAAAGTACAATCAAAATTTTGATAACAAAACAAAATATTCTTCTATTACTAATGTTCTGTTCTTACATTGTCCATTCGTCAAATCATTTCGGTTTTATTTTCTGTGCTTACAAAACAAAGATCAGTTGTTTCCTTGGCCTTTATCAACACTTGCTGTCTTGTTATTTGTGAATTTCTCTTCAGTTAGAGGGTTGAGTAACTACTCTATGTAACAACTCTGACAGTGTCCTCTTGCTTTTCAGCAGATTGACTTACCTTTAATGAAGTCTTCTCTGAAATTAGCCAGATGGCTGATCTCTTGTTCACTTACTTCCACAGACAACCACAGTGGATTACTTTTGCTTTGAACTATTTATTTGTTCAGTTGCACTTTAGATTGGTTGTCTTTATTACTTTGTGTTTCTCTTCTTGTTGTCAATCAGAGTTCAACTTCTGGTACTGTAATTATTGTTTAGTGCTCAGGAATATTTTGATTGTAAACTCTGCAACTGTTTGAATTAAGTTTAACCTTGCATTTATGTTTGTATGAAGAGTATTCTCAAGATGCAGATTTCCCCACTGCCAGTTACCCACACATGTGTACAGAAATCATGGATTGAGGATGACCTCTAACTTTCCACTTGCTGGAACTTTATCACCACTTGCTGTTTTTATTAGTGCATCTTTTTTTTTTCTTTTTTTTGCTTGATCTCCGAAGAAAATATTTCTCAGCTTTTATTGCCGGATCAGGTCAAACAATTGTAACTGTAAAATCAGTGTGAATCAACACGGTGGCTTCCCATTAACGTATCCATTAAATTGTGGACTACTTTCTTTGAACTATGCACTCCTTATTTCATCCTTAATATATCGTCTTCTTGGTTTATTATGAACAGTTTAGTCATCACAATCTCGGAAGTAATGTCCAGGTTTTCCACATTTCTAGTAATTTCCTTCCCTTGTCATCCTTATGGAGCAGTTTTTTTTTATTTCCCAAAGGCTTTTGTTAGATGTTTTTAGCCATATGGCCTTTTAAGTTGTAATTGAAACACCTTTATCTTGTGATTTACTTCTTTTTCTCTGAATAGATAGCTGTCTAATTAACTGTTTTAGTTCATGATTCCAGGATGGTGTCTTTAATTGTTTATACGCAAATTTATGTAATTCAAATTCTATCACTAACAGAACATCTTCATATAAAGATGTACACCTTTTTTCGCCTTAGTCTGATTTGTATATCCTCATCCCCTATGGAATCTGTGGATTTTCACGTGCCAATGAATCCACCATTCCAAACCGAGCATCTAGTTAATACAATTAGGCAAGTCTTTCCACATCTTAAACAAATTCAGCTAAGGTCTCATCACTTCTTCTCACTCAAATTTTACTTTAAAAACTTCCTTTTGATGTGAAATTCCAAATATACTTGATAAGGTTGCTACTAATGCCTAGTAATTGTTGCAACTCTCTGTTGAAAGTTTGTTTAGGGTTGTTAAACTGGTTCTTGTAAATATGCAATTAGATTAATAACTTGTTATTCACTTCTCAATCTTTTCATCTTGGAAATTACTTGAAACTGTGCCTGATATGCCTCCCTTAGTCCTTTCCATTATAGTATGTCCATTTGTACGTTTACTATGAATTACTCAATTTGATTATTATGAATCTTCTGCAAAATTATTCTTAATCTTCTTTTAACTTTTCGTCTCTTTGCACCTTGGTCTTCTTTTAATTTTCTGTCTCTTTCTTGTTGATCAGTATTTCATCATTCCCAGCAAATTTTTGACCTTGCTTCGAATACGCGCTTTCATCTTGAGGTTGGATCTTGATTTTATGTTATTTTTTATCAAAATAATCCCACACTTGGCACCAATGTTGTCATAGCTTCTATTGTTAGGTGGATTTGTTGGGTAAGAAGAATACAAAGTTCGGCCCATTTAATGATATCAAAATCATTTTATTTATTGAATTACAAGATTTATAAGTCAACTAACATTTGACAATAGGCAAAGTTAACAGTAATGGTATAGTGAGGGGAAAGTGCAGATTGGGAAAATGCCTGACCGTCATTTTTGGCCTTTCAGAAAATCAGCGTTATATCAGGTAAATAAAGAAATAATAGGAACATAGCAAAAATTACAGAAATTACTTGTCCTAGAATTTTTCGCGCCCAAAAAAATTAAACATATAACACATATAGCAGACATGTACCCTTTATAATGTTTTCAGCTATATGCCTTTATGACATATTTCCAGTCTTACTGATGTGTTCATGATTGACGATAAATCATGTTTGTTTGTTTTTGAATTTCGCGCAAAGCTACACGAGGGCTATCTGCGCTAGCCGTCCCTAATTTAGTAGTGTAAGATTAGAGGCAAGGTAGCTAGTCATCACCAGCCACCGCCAACTCTTGGGCTACTCTTTTACCAACGAATAGTGGGATTGACCGTCACTTTATAATGCCCCCACGGCTGAAAGGGCGAGCATGTTTGGTGTGACGGTGATTCGAACCCGCGACTCTCAGATTGCGAGTCGAGTGCCCTAACCATCTGGTCATGCCGGGCCCAGATAATTGTTTGTTTGTTTTGTTTTTTTAATTATGCACAAAGCTACACAAGGGCTATCTGTGCTCTGCCCACCACGGGTATCGAAACCGGATTCTAGCGTTGTAAGTCCGCAGACATACCGCTATGCCATTGGGGGCAGGGCCCAGATAAATCATGATTAATTCAATGCAAAATTACTCGTAGTGAACTTATTGATTATTAGTTTTTAATTGTTTGTTTGTTTGTAATTAAGCATAAAGCTGCACAATGGACTATCTGTGCTCTGCCCACCAC